CTCCCCCTTCCGGGTGGAGGAGTCACGGGGGGGCGCCCCCCCTTCCGGGTGGAGGAGACTGGGGCATTTCCTCTGCGGAAAGTCACGGGGGAGAGCTCTGCATGGCCGCTCTCCACACCAGGAACGGGCTGGAGTCGCTCTCCTGTCCCGCTCTCCCAAGGGGCTGTGAGCGCTTGCCTTTCAGCGCTCTCTTGTGCTCGCTCCCCTGCACAAACACGTGGGTGCCCGATTTCCCTCCTGCCTGCCTGCAGTGACCTTCCCTCCCCAGACTCCCTGCTGCTCACCAGCTCTCGTATCCCTTCCAGGTGAGCTCCTCTGGGGCTGCTGCCCGGGATGGCCGGCTGAAGGTGGGGCTTCGGATCCTGGAGGTGAATCACCAGAGCCTGCTGGGAATGACGCACACTGAGGCTGTGCAGATCCTACGCAGTGTGGGTGACAAGCTCCTTGTGCTTGTGTGTGATGGCTTTGACCCCAAGGCCGCAGCTGCAATCGAGGTGAGAGCCTGGGTAGGGCCATGAAGAGCCATGTGGCAGATGGGTTCCTCCGCAAGAAATCCTGTCTTTGTATGCCCATGCAGCGACACACAGCTACACGCGGGGACACACAGCTACACGCGGGGACACACAGCTACACGCGGGGACACACAGCTACACGCGGGGACACACAGCTACACGCGGGGACACACAGCTACACGCGGGGACACACAGCTACACGCGGGGACACACAGCTACACGCGGGGACACACAGCTACACGCGGGGACACACAGCTACACGCGGGGACACACAGCTACACGCGGGGACACACAGCTACACGCGGGGACACACAGCTACACGCGGGGACACACAGCTACACGCGGGGACACACAGCTACTCCTTGTGTTGGCACTGGCAGGGGAGGGAGAAGGAGCCTGGTGCACGCACGGGGAAGGTTGCCTGACGCGAGGCTTCTCCTGTGGTTCTAGACTTTCAGGTCAGAGGGTTGATTCCACTGTCCAGAAGGTTCTGGAGAGCAGAGCCCTGTTACGCAGCAGTGGCTTTTAACCCATCCGAAGCCAGTTCTCAGGAGTGGTGCAGCACTAGAGGTGGATTTCGAGCAGGACAGGGCAGGGGTCTGCACAGCAGTGTGGGGAAGGGGCTCTGTGTCAGTGGGGCAATTCGAATGAAGTATGTTTGGGAGAAGCTGGCAACAGGCCGTGAGGAATGCTGGTGAAGGTGAGACGTCAGGGACCCTGTGACCCAAGACGGGGCAGACAAGTATGGAGGGGTCGAGATGAAGGTGATGTACAGGAAGCGGCGGGGAGGGAGGTGGTCAGAGCAACAGGCAAAGAAGATCTTAGCAGCTGGGTTTTGTAAGGACCGGGGGGTGGATTTGTAGGAGGCTGCAGTGATGAAGATGGGAGTATTAGCTTCATGGACAGGAAGAAGAGGTTGGATCTCAGAGATGTTTTGGTGGACAAAAGGGGTGGATTGGAGCTTGACCTGACCATGGGGGGCTGGAGAGACAGCAGAGCCACAGCCCCCACTTTTCAGGCCTGCGTGTCACGGAGGCTGGTGGCATTCAGCACTGTGGCTGTGAAGGTGTGGCATGGGAGGGCAGATCAGGAGCTCTTGTTGGGCCATGTTGAGACATCCAGGAGAGAGATAAGACCATGAGAACAGCCAGACTGGGTCAGACCAAAGTTCCATCTAGCCCAGTAGCCTGTCTGCGGCAGTGGCCAGCGCCAGGTGCCCCGGAGGGAGGGAACACAACGGAATCCTCACGTGATCCCTCCCCCATCTCCCACTTCCAGAGAAACAGAGGCTGGGGACCCATTCCTGCCCAGCCTGGGTAACAGCCATCGATGAGCCTTGTCAAGTCACAGGGCCAGGGCCCAGCCAGATTACGGATTTGCTTCAAGACAGAGTCAATCAGGGATAGTTGCTTTTATTAATCTCACTATAGCACTGCTATGGCTGGCTAATACTGCCAGATGGTTACTCAGCTACTGCAAAGGAATACGCCAGTAAGCACAGGTAGAGCAATGCAGAAAGCGAGCATCAGGCACTTGGAAATGCTTACGCCCCTTCAGTCTGCGGGGAGTCCCATTCCTGTTAGCTTGCACCAGGCCACAGTGGACGTGGCTCCAGCTGGGGGGAATCCAGGGTACTCTCCGAGGTGAGACTCACTGGGCATGGGACTCCCTACGCTAGTTATACTACAGTTGTTTACCAGGTGTGTGCATACTGGCCCAATACCATTCTTGACATTCCCATGGGGCTGAGAACTGAGGTCATGTTATTTATCCTATACTCGGCTCTCAGCTAGCAAGCATAGGGAGTTGCGGCTGATGAAAGCCGTCTGATAAAGAACACCTGGTATTTTCTCCAGCAGGGCTCATGGCTGACCTAGAGGAATACAAAGTTAACCCCAGTAGGCCTACATATGGCTTTTTATATAACAGACCTCTCCTCCATGAATTTGCCTACATCTTTTTTGAATCCTATTAAAATCTTGGCCTTCACAACATCCTCTGGCAAGGAGTTCCACAGGTTGACTGCCTCATGTGAAGAAATACTTCCTTTTCTCTGTTTCAAACCTGTTGCCTATTAATTTCATATGGTAACAAATATTCCCTATAAGCTGTGTGCTTGTGTGGCCACTCAGGAGAGATTCAAATGCTGCCCAGCTGATTAGCAGAGGCCCCTCAGCTAGGTTTTATTTCTACTGGTGCCTCGTTGCACATTCACAAATGCCTTGGTGCACATAAAAATGTATTGCGCACATGGATGGAAAAATCCACACGTATGGAGGGAACATTGTTGGTGACCCCTAGTTCTTATGTTATGGGAAGGAGTTAATAACTCTTTCTTATTTACTTTCTTTGCACATCATGATTTCATAGGCCTCTACTTAGTTGTCTCTCTTCCAAGCTGACAATTTCCAGTCTAACTTACCTCTTCTCATATAGCAGTTGTCCTATACCGAGATGAGGTGAACACATATGCATACATTATTCCAGGTGCAAGCATACCATGGATTTATAAAGAGACAATAAGATATTTTCTGTCCTATTATGTATGCTTTTTCTCTGTTTGCTTCCCAGCACTCTGGCTATGTCTACACTACACGGTTCTTCTGGAAAAAGCTACGCAACTTGTGAACAGCAATTTGCGTAGCTTTTTCCGCTTCTTTGTTCAGAAGAGGCTTTTCCAACATTTGGCCTACACTGGGTCAAATGTTGGAAAACCCCCCTTTTAGGGACCATCTCTTCTTCCTCATAAAACGAGGTTTACAGGGATGCCGAAAACACATCTGCTCTTCCAAAAAAAAATTTTGGAAGAGCAGACCCGTTCCCTTGACGCGGCAGAGTTTTTCCGGGATACCTCTGGTATACTTCTGGTGTCCCGGAAAAACTCTGTAGTAGAGACGTAGCCTTTCTTTGATTGCTCCTGCACATTGAATGGATGTTTTCAGAGAACTATTCTCAGTGACTCTAAGATCTCTCTTGAGTGGTAACTACTAATTTATACCCCATCATTTTGTATATACAGTTGGGATTATGTGTTCCAGTGCCCATTACTTTGCACTTATTAACATGGCATTTTATCTGTCATTTGGCCATCCAGTCACCCACTTTTGTGAGCTCTTTTTGAAACTCTTTGCTCTTGAGCAGTTTGGTATCATCTGCAAATTTTGCCACTTCTCTGTTTAACCCGTTCTCCAGATCATTTATGAATATTTTAACTAGGATTGGTTGCAGTACAGACCCCGGGAAGACACCACTAGTTCTTCTTGGAGTGCCTGCTGATATGTATCCCAAGTAGGCATGCGCGCTTCCCCTAGCTGCTACTCGTCGAGTCAGCCGTGGAGTCCCCTGGAGTGGTGTTAGCGCGACTCCCCATATATAACCCTGCCAGCTCAACCATTCCCCAGTTCCCTCTTGCCGGCTATCCGACAGTGGGAAGGAGGGTGGGTAGAAATAGATGTGAGCCACACATCTCGCAGGATAACAGTTACCGAGGTGAGGAACTGGTTTTTCTTCTTCGAGTGCTTGCTCATATGTGTAGGAGGACAAGTCTTGTGGCTAAGGGAGAAGCGGTGGACATGAGATACCCAGACTTTAGTAAGGAATATGATACAGTCTCACATGACCTTCTTATCAATAAACTAGGCAAATGCAACCAAGAAGGGGCTGCTATAAGGCGGGTGCAGAACTGGCTGGAGAACCGTTCTCAGAGAGTCGTTATCAACGGTTCACAGTCCTGCTGGAAGGGCAGAACAAGTGGGGTTCCGCGGGTGTCTGGTTTTGGGTTGGTTCTGTTCAATATCTTCAGCTGTATAGATGATGGTGTAGAGCAGCGGTTCCCAAACTTTTCAGCATCATGCCCCCTTTTTGATTTTTGAGAAACCCTCACATCTGTCCTCCCACCCCAAAATAGCAGCAAAACTTGTTGAGAAAAAAAAAAGGAACTGACCAGGAACGAAAAACAAAAACAGCAGCAAAACTTGGGGGGGATTGACAGGGCAGGGGGCTGGGTTGCCTCGTTGGTGTAGAGCAGCGGTTCCCAAACTTTTCAGCATCATGCCCCCTTTTTGATTTTTGAGAAACCCTCACATCTGTCCTCCCACCCCAAAATAGCAGCAAAACTTGTTGAGAAAAAAAAAAGGAACTGACCAGGAACGAAAAACAAAAACAGCAGCAAAACTTGGGGGGGATTGACAGGGCAGGGGGCTGGGTTGCCTCGTGCGCCC